CTCACCCAGAGCAACTTGCCAAGGATCACATCCAGGTTAGTCTGGAATATCTCCAGAGCAGACCCCACAGCCTCTCTGGGCAGCTGCTCCAGGCTCTGGGGGCGCATGGGGCAGCTGAGCCCCCTGCTCCAGAGTGCTGCTTTGCCCTGAGAAGAGCCATCTCCTCCCTCCAGCACCCTCTGCACTGCAGGGCTCCAGGAAGAGCAGGGTGGCTCCAGGCAGCCCTGGGTGAGCCGGGCCCAGGAGCCATCCTGGCCAGCACGGGTTAACAGCCTGGTGCCAAATCCACTCCTGGCTGGTGAGGGGTTGTGAAAGTGGCTCCTGAGGAGCAAACACCAGCTGCTCAAGGTTCAAGGGGCCGTGGAGAGGCTGCGACAGGGGGTGCACGCTGGGTGGGTGCAGGCTGAGGGGTCGCATCCTGCCAGAGCACAGGGTGCTGCTGACAGCAAACCCTGTCCCAGTGGGCAAGTGGCACCGGTGGCACATGGGAAGGCTCCAAGGGTTCAGCACGTGGCACAGCACACTCCCCCAGCTCACAAGGAGGGGGTCAGGGAGCCCACAGCCCCCGTCACCCCTGTGGGCACCCCACAACCCAGGGCTCCCTCATGTCCCCACCCGGCTCTGACCGTGGGTCTGTGACTTTCCCTGGTGTTTAAAGTTCAGCTGCCTGGATCGAGGGCAGATCAAAACCCTCTGGTTTCATTTCTCTTCTTCAGAGGGAGTTTCCAGCACCCCTGGTAACAGACAAAACTTAAAAAACCCTAGGAGGGATCAGCTGCTCCAGAAAGTGCTGACAGAGCCCAGGACAGGGCTGCTGTTGGTTCAGGGGCACCAGGGAATTTGAAGTGGCTCTGGAAAAACTCCAGGGGCAGGGACAGGGACAGAAAACTCCAGAGCATGGGGATCTTTGGCTGTTCCCTTCCCACCAGGCTGAGCTAGCAGGTGGAGTGACACAGGGAAGGGGAAGTTACCATCTGCACGACCTCCTCCAGGGTGATCTGATTGTCTCCTGGATCCTCCTGTGTCAGGGTCCTGTGGCAGGAGAAGACAGCATTACTCTGGCTGGGAAAGCACCAGAGCTGCACAGCTCCCATGGGGCTGCAGCACGACGCCAGGGGTTTCCCCAGATGAAACACTGGATGTGCACAAGAACACTTCTAAGTCCCACTTCCCGTTTTGAAGACAAAATAAACTCCTTAAAGGAGGCCACAGGTGGCCCCGTGTGGGTCACCTGGGCAGCAAGGCACCACGTGTGCCCAGAGCCACACGGCTCCTGGAGGGACCCGCAGCCCCTGGCCACAGGGAGTGCCACATGCCTACCAGGTCCCACGCCACCCTGCACGTGTGCTGGCACAAGGGGGGGTCACACCTCACCCCTGCTCCCAACCAGGCCCTGACATGCCAGGAAGATGGACGTGGCCAGGACAGGACC